GGGATAATTCATGACAAGAGCAGAGCCTGGTTTAGAGACCTATGGAGAGAAATGGCAGCTGCCAAAGGGAGAAGGTGGGGGATGTGAAAATAGAATAAAATTTCAGACTCCCAAATTTATTATGCCAAGGGGAAAAGTTAAGCCCTGGAAACCGGGTCAGTAACTACTGTTACTAGCCTTTGTATTGAAATGTTATACATTAACCAGGTTCCCTATTCTTCAGTCAAATTTAGACTGGATCATGTGAGAGATAGAGACCCTTGTGTTTGTTACCTCTTTACAATAGGAACAATGTTAAGCAGCCCCCTTTGAGTGTAATCAATAGTAGCCAGTAAAATCTTGCATTTGTATATTAGATTTTATATGGAAAAGGTTGCAATTCGATTCAGCACCCTTGTTTTTGCCTGTAAGTATAAACAATCTTCACTTTTCCCGACACCGAGAACTGATCACCGTTTTTTGGTGTCCATGTTTCTTGGGAAGACAGCCCTCACAATTTGTACTTGAATAAACTCTCTTAACTGGTTTCTGTGCCTTTTATTTTATTTTTTATTATTTATTTATTTATTCTTTTGAGGTGGAGTCTCACTGTCGTCCAGACTGGAGTGCAGTGGCCGCTCCTGGCCACCGCAGTCTCGACCTGCTGGGCTCTGGTGATCCTTCCACCTCAGCCTTCCAAGCAGCTGGAACTACAGGCGCGCGCTACCACGCCCGGCTAATTTTTTTTATTTATTGTAGAGGTTTCGCCTGCCCAGGCAGGTCTCGAACCCGAGGGCTCAGGCAATCCACTCACCTCAGCCTCCCAAAGCGCGGGATTACAGGCTGAGCCACCAAGCCCGGCTCTTTTTGATTATTTTAGACTGACATGAGAAATATGTTTCAATAAGATTTTTAGGAGCCCGGGCTCGGTGGCTCAGCCTGTAATCCCAGCACTTTGGGAGACTGAGGTGAATGGATTGCCTCAGCCCGCGGGTTCGAGACCCACCTGGGCAACTTGGCGAGACCTCGTCTCTACAATAAATCAAAAAAATTAGCCAGGAGTGGTAGCGCACGCCTGTAGTTCCAGCTACATGGAAGGCTGAGGCGGAAGGATCGCTGGAGCCCAGCAGGTCGAGGCTACGGTGGCCAGGAGCAAGCCACCGCACTCTAGTCTGGGCAACAAAGTGAGACTCCGATTCAAAAAAAAAAAAAAAAAGATTTTTAGGAAATCACCTGTGCGATTTGTGAAGTAACTCCCTCCCTCTTCTTCCTGAGAAAATATCAGTAAAAAACAGTGTACTTTTCTGTTTTTGGTCTGGTCAGGGTTCCTCTTAAGAACGTGAGAAGGTGTCAAGCCCAGTTCAGGATGTAAGTAGGGACAGAGAGGAAGGCCCAGGGTCATCCATGTTTACACGCAGCTTATGTTTGAGGATTATGGAACTGAATTCTCTTGCTGACCCACAGCTGTATTTGGTGTCCCAGGGAGGCACATCAGTGAGTTGTTGCGGGATGATAGCCATGGGGAGGAGCGAGAATGACTTGATCTGATTCCAAGGAGGGGACTGTGAGGAAGTAGTGATTCTCAGTTCGTTTGCTCAGCCCAGTGCCTATCACCTAATCGGAGTTCTGGGTACATTTGCTGTCTGGATCGCATAGGATAAAGGAGACTCATCATGGTAATCCAGTGAGTAGGAAATTATTACCCCCATTGTAGAAATGAAGACTCTGAGGCCTGAAAGTGACTCTTTTCACGTCTCTAGGCTGTCAGTGGACAGCAAATACCCTAGTCCTTGCTTTGGCTTCCTAGGTACACCTACCGCTAGAACTTGCACCCACCTCCCCTCCACCCCGCCCACCCACACTACACTTCCGAATTACGCCCCGCCCACTCGAGAGCACTTCCGGTCTCCGGTGCTGGGAGCCGCACCCTTTAGCTGCAGAGTGGTGAGTCTGCGTTGCGGGGACTCGTATGTCCTTTGCAGGCAGTCCCTGGGGTGGGCGTCTGCGGGTCCAGGTGGCAGTGGGCTCTTCTTTCTCTTGTCCCCGTCCATCACGCGGCAGCCATTTCTCTCGCGAAGGTCCGCGTCCTCTGCCTGAGGACGGCGTCACTTCCGGTCCCCCTGCTGGCTGGTGGATGCTGAAAATGTCGCCAGCCCCACTTGGTGGCGGGGAGGAGTGAAGGCCGGTCTTGGTGTTTTTACGTTTCACCCTGGAGTGTGCCGTTTAGGAGAGACCGTGTCCTGGGTATATTAGGCGGATTTAGCGGATACAGATACAGGATGCCCAGTTAAATTTTAATTTCAGATAAACCGCGAATAATTTTTAGTATAAGTAATTCCTAAATATTGTGTGGGACTTCTTTTTTTTTTGCTTGCTTTTTTTTTTTTTTTTTTGAGCTGCGATCTCTGTCGTCCAGGCTGGAATGTAGTGGCACGATCAGGGCTCACCACAGCATCGACCTCCTGGACTCAGGCTATTCTCCTGCCTCAGCTTCCCAAGTAGCTGGGATTACAGGCACACGGCACCACGCCTAGCAAATTTTAAAAATTATTTTGTAAAGATGAGGTCTTGTTGAGGCAGGTTAGTCAGTGCAGGCTAAACATAGATGTTTCTTGTGGGTGGGTTTAAATTAAAATAGGGTAAGCATTCAGACATCTTTCCTATTGGTACATGTGCTTCACCTGCCTGATCAGGCACACCAGACCTGACCACCTTGCTGGCTAGAATGTGGATCTACCAGTGCAGTAAATCACAGAAACAATAGGGAATTACTCAACACAGACATGATGTTCTAAGAAAAGCCCAAATCTAGTTAGGCAATAACTTTAATTATTTAGAAGTTCCTTAGAAAATTGAGAGATGGTAATCAAAACTTGTGACCAGACACTTGTAGCCCACCTCTCTTAGCTCATAGAAAATGGAGAGATGGTAATCAAAACTTGTGACCAGATACCTGCAGCCCTTGGCTCTTAGCTCATGGTTTGCGTAATCATAGTTGTAAAAGGATATAAAACTTCTTGTCAAAGGCAAAGAGTGTCCTTTCTCTTAAGGAACCCATGCCCTTTGAGCATATCTTTCTTTTTCTAATAAACTCTGTCTTAAACTATACTTGGGCCTTGCTCTGAGATTCTTTTCTGTGGTTGAGTCAGAAGAACCCATGGAGTGACACACTGCACTCCATCTGGCATCACTGCTGTGTTTCCTAGGATTGTCTGGAACTCCTGGGTTCAAGCAGTCCTTTGGCCTCGGCCTCCCAAAGTGCTGGGATTACAGGTATATCCCACTGTGCCTGGCCTGTATGGGACATACTTGTACTGAAAAATCACTTGTTTATCTGAAATTCAGATTTAACTGGACAGACTGTATTTTCTCTGACAACTTTAGCCTTGAGTGTTTCCCTACTCTGATATGCATTTAAAAGACTGGGATCCTCTAGGAAATAGGTACAGAGTTCACCCAGGCTGTAGATATAATTTCAAAATACTTTTAGTTCCAAGCATAATACACAGGCCTCCAGGGTCTCCCTGGTAAAAGCTGGACTCATTTTTAGAATCCCCATGGCAGTGCCCTCTATGTTCCCTTTCACAACAGAAGTCAGACAGGGCTAGTCTTCCCTCTTTTTTTTTGAGTTGAAGTCTCACCCTGTCGCCCAGGCTGCCACCACAGCCTTGACCTGACGGGTGATCCTTCCACCTCAGCCTTCCAAGTAGCTGGAACTACAGGCATGTGCCATTACGCCTGGCTAACTTTTCTTGATTTATTGTAGAGATGAGGTCTTGCCAAGTTGCCCAGGCTGGTCTCGAACTCTTGGTCTTAGGCAATCCTCTCACCTTGGCCTCCCAAAATGCTGGGATTCTAGGCATGAGCCACTGTGCCCAGTCTTCTCTTATGGAAAAGCTGAGAATCAGGCAGGCCACAAGGCCAAGGTCTAGAAGTTATCACATTTGGGTGTGGGGTAAACTGGAGTTTGCATTTTCTGTATTACAGTGGATAGCCTCAAAGAGCTTGAGGGCATCAAGGGGAGAGCGTTAATCTCATCTCACTTCTAATTTTTGCAGATGAGGTCCAGTGAGAGAAATGGTGGTATGTCAGCCACCCAGAAAACCCAGAATAGAGCTGAAACCCCAATTCCCAACCTCCTTCCCTTGCTTGATCCACACTTGATAATGAAGTCAGCTTGCAACATTTGTGGTGGACATTTATCAAAGTAGATACATTTTTACAAATGAGCTCTTTGAGGCTTTATTGTTCTTTAACCCTCTGTAGGGCTTCCTGACCTTCACCCCAAGGCTTTGCTAGCTTTTACTCTGCCCCGTGGGGAACATGACTATTTGGCTTAGCTATGGGAGCTTGGCCTTTGCCTGCTCCAGTCACTGGGCACTCACCACTGTGGGTGATGATTGTTTTTATTATCTCAGAGCCGGAAGGGGTGTTCTTGGCAAGGATGAGTCTGGCCAGCTATGTGTGTAGAAGGGCATCCTTTTCTGTCCTGCAGATTGACAGCCTTATGGCACATGGCCTCACACAGTGCCTGGAGACTTCCCTAAGGTTCTACCATGAGCCACTCCTGATTTGACTCTGAACCTCTTGGTGGACTGGCCCTGTGTGCTGGGATTCCTCAGATTGTGTGCCCTGAGGACATGCTCTGGGCCTGGCCTATTAGTGCTCTGGTGAGCCTGCAGCCTTCCATATAGACCCAGTGTTCCCAAGCACCTCAGTCTAGTCCCATGAGATAATGAAATAGAGTAGGCTGGAGGTCAATGGGCTCGGGGTCAACTGGTGGGACTGTCAACAGCCTCCTGGCGGAAGAGGTGGTCAAGAGGCAGGGAAGGGTGCCAGAAAGGGGTGTTGTCTCTGGGTGAGGGCTCAGAAGCACAGGGGGTGGAAAAGGGGTGGGACAGAGCCCACTGATAGGAATTGCTCCCTGTGTTAATGATTAACTCCCAGCCACAAGGGGTGACCTAGGAGGAGGGCTCAGCTAACAGGAACTTTGGACTTGGGGCAGAGTGTCCAGAGGACCAGCGTGTGGTTTACAGAAGAGGAGGACATGGCGGGGGAACAGGGCTGGTCTCCAAGGACTGGAGTGAGAATAGGCAGCTGTGGGCTTCGGGAAATTTCTCTGGGTTGTCAGATGACTCATTCTTGCTGCAGCAGCTATGGGCTCCACTGGCCCTGAGCCCTCAGGGGTGACTGTAGGGGTCCTCCTATCTCTTGCCTTGCAAGGGCCTTACTTGTGCTTTTTTCCCCCTAGGCAGCCATGGGTGCCAGGCAGTGCTGAGAGCAGTGGGGCATGGCTTCAACCTTGCAGGTCTTGCCCCGCGTGGCCCGAGCCCCCTTGCGTCCACTACTCTGGGGGGGCCTAGCGGCCCGGATGGCCAGCGGCATGGCCTTGGCAGAGCAGGCACGGCAGCTGTTTGAGAGTGCCGTGGGTGCTGTGTTGCCGGGCCCTATGCTGCATCGGGCTCTGTCCTTGGACCCTGGTGGCACACAGCTGAACGTGCGGGACCGGAGCTTTCAACTGCGGCAAAACCTCTACATTGTGGGGTTCGGCAAGGCTGTGTTGGGCATGGCAGCTGCAGCTGAGGATCTACTGGGCCATCATCTCGTGCAGGGTGTGATCAGCGTTCCCAAGGGCATCCGTGCTGCCATGGAGCACGCCGGCAAGCAGTAAGGAGACAGGGGGCTGCTTCCTACTGTCTCTCAGAAGGGAAACCTGGGCCCACACCCAGGCTGGAGCAGGGTCTTCTCATCTATCCAGCTTTCCTTTGCTCCTGGGTCTGGCCAGACTCCAGAATGGGTGTTAGTGGGCATTCTTGTTCATGTTGAGATCAGATGAGAGGAGAGGAGCCCACCCTTCTCTTGCTCTCTGTGCTCTTTCCCTTCTCAGGGATATGCTGCTGAAGCCACACAGCCGGGTCCAGGTATTCGAGGGTGCAGAAGACAACCTGCCGGACCGCGATGCACTGCGGGCTGCTCTGGCTATCCGGCAGTTGGCCGAGGGACTCACGGCCGATGACCTGCTGCTCGTGCTCATCTCAGGTGTGGGTGCCAGATTGGCTCAAGACAGTTGGCAGGGGGCTACTCTAGGTATCAGGTCTCTGAGAGCTCAGATCTGAGTCCCCCAAGGTCACAGGATGAAGTTGGGAAGCAAGGGAGTCATTGAGGAATCTGATGATGACTCCCGAATGGCCTTGGGCCAGTTGTCTGGACTCCCCTGATCTGTGGGGTCCTTCCCCTGAACTGACCTTGTTGGGTGACAGTGAGAGGGTGCAGCACCTACTACAGGGCCTGGCACATCAACAGAACCCTTGGAAAATGTCACTGCAGTTGATGCTCTCTGCACTAATATCTCTCGGGCTGGAACTCAGGACCCCACACTTCATGAAATTCTCTTCTTGACCTTCTGTTGTTTCCTCTTGCCCTGTCCTCTGTTTCAGTCTGTTAGGAAATAGTTCTTCCAGTGCCTACTAGGACCTGGGGTAACTACCTCAGGTGGCCAGTGTGTGGTGACTGTGCACATATGGCATATCCACATGGGGGCACCCTAACCCCACCTTTCCAGCCCTCTGTCTCTAACGTGGGCTTGTACACCACTGCTTGCCTGGTTCTCTGGGTTGGAATGTCCCCTCTGCCTGACACCTCCATTGTTTCTGCAGGTGGAGGCTCAGCCCTGCTGCCTGCCCCCATCCCACCTGTCACACTGGAGGAGAAGCAGACACTCACCAAGCTGCTGGCAGCCCGTGGAGCCACCATCCAGGAGCTGAACACCATTAGGAAGGCCCTGTCCCAGCTTAAGGGAGGGGGGCTGGCTCAGGCTGCCTATCCTGCCCAGGTGCGAGCTACTTCTTCTTTTTTTTTTGAGAAAGCAGAATTTCTTGAGAGAACAGAAAAGCTCCCAGAGCGGAAGGGGGACCCAAGAAGGTTGCCTGCGAGCTACTTCTTTCCCAGGCAGCCCTGGTCTGGTGGAGCCAGGGCCACATATGCCAGGGGGATGAAAATTCACAACATCATGCAGGTTGACAGGGGCCTGGTATGAGTGTCCACAGGGCCAGCTAGGTGAAGTCATGGGAGGAATCCTAGAGAGGGAGAGGGGAATCTACATAGCCATATGTTCTACAAGCCCACCTGAGAGGGGTTAGAAATGGAAATACACTGGGTCATGAGGACGTATGGATATCCAGGGAGCAATTTGTCCTTATGGGCTCTGGGGTGAGGAGGAGGTGATACTGATCCTTGCCCTGTGACCCTTCCCTAGGTGGTGAGCCTTATCCTGTCAGATGTGGTGGGCGACCCTGTAGAGGTGATTGCCAGTGGCCCCACTGTGGCCAGTGCCCACAATGTGCAAGATTGCTTGCATATCCTCAATCGCTACGGCCTTCGTGCTGCTCTGCCACGTTCTGTGAAGACTGTGCTGGCTCGGGCTGACTCTGATCCCCATGGGCCACATACCTGTGGCCATGTCCTCAATGTGATCATTGGCTCCAACGTTCTGGCACTGGCTGAGGCCCAGCGGCAGGCTGAGGCACTGGGCTACCGGGCCATGGTGCTGAGTGCAGCCATGCAGGGTGATGTGAAGAGTGTGGCTCAGTTCTACGGGTTGCTGGCCCATGCAGCAGGAACCCGCCTCACCCCATCCACAGCTGGGGCTTCTGTGCAGGAGGATGCAAAACTCCATGAACTGGCTGCTGAGCTTCAGATCCCAGACCTACAGCTGGAGGCGGCTCTGGAGGTTGTGGTAGGGGCTATGGGCCCAGTCTGCCTGCTGGCTGGTGGTGAGCCCACAGTGCAGCTGCAGGGCTCAGGCAAGGGTGGTCGGAACCAGGAACTGGCCCTGCGTGTTGGAGCAGAGTTGGGAAGGTGGCCACTGGGGCCTATTGATGTGCTGTTTTTGAGTGGTGGCACCGATGGGCGGGATGGGCCCACAGAGGCTGCTGGGGCCTGGGTCATGCCTGACCTTGCCAGCCAGGCTGCCGCTGAGGGCCTGGACATGGCCACATTCTTAGCCCAGAATGACTCACATGCCTTCTTCTGCCACTTCCAGGGTGGGACACACCTGCTGCACACAGGGATGACAGGTACCAATGTCATGGATACCCACTTCTTGTTCCTGCGGCCTCGGTGATGGCATACGTCACTTTCTGGGAGTCCAAAGGAGGCCTGCAAGGGCAGGATCCTATGGCAGGCCAGGGTTGGTCCTCAGGGTTTCACTAGGCCTTAGGACACCTCTCTCCTTGGCCCTGGCTGCTTGGTTGGCCCTCACACCTTCCATTCAGGGCCTCTCAGCTACATGTCCATTCCCCCTAACCAGAATGGCAGGAGGGGGCTCACCTCCACCCCTACTTTCTGCTATGGCAGCAGGTACCCCTGAGGACTGGGACAAACCCATTGGCTAGTTTGCTGTTACCATTCTTCTCCCCTGGACAGTCCCTCTGTTGAGCCCCTTAGCCTGTGTATTCTGTGGAGTGAAGCAAGAATGACTAAAAATAAAAAGGACCACACTATAGATTCTCAGTGTATCGCCCCTGAGAGCAAAGACTCACAGAGAAGCTACTGGGGATGGGGAGCGTGGGATGGCTGTAGCCACCATTCCAGGACCTGACAAGTTTCTTACACCTCTCTCTGTGGGCACACTCAGAACTTGCTTCACATAATTGGGAGCCTCTACCTGCTTCTGTGGAGCCTGTGAGGGTTGAGTCTGGCTCCTAATAGCTTCAATGTATACAAGCAGAGACCCCAGGGAGGACGGGCCTAAGGTCTCAGTCTGTGTGGTCTGAAAGTCACTGGCCACCTACCCAACCATGACACCCCAGTGGCATCCTTACTATGGTCTTGCCAGACTCAACTTGTGTGCCTTGTTGGAGGGATGTTTTACTATCTGTGTCTTTGGACAGCCCTGAGCCACAGACTGCATCTCCTTTGGTTGAGCTGAAATCTGCCCCACCCCCAGGCCTCTGTTTATCCGGAGCTACCCTTGCCACATAGGACACTGGACCTTGTTTCATTGTGCCAGCCCATTTTCTCAGACTGAACATCCCCAGTTCCTTCAACCTTTCCTCTGGGGACGCAGTCCAGGCCTTGGTGCCAGCCCTTCAGTTGGGGGTCTCCAGCACTGGAATGTGGGTCCAAGCAGTGATGTGTTCAGCAGCCCCTGTCCCTTCCTGTTATAGCTGGTGGGAGAAGAGGTGAATGGGTAGGAGAGCCTCGGAGGAATGGCTCCCTTGGCCTGGCCAGCAGCTGGGATTGGGAGAGGGAGGTGCCACTGTCCTGGCTCCCCTTGGGCCCCCTTACTCAATGACAGAGCCCTCCGCTGGTCATCCCCGCCGTGCGCCACGGCTCCAATCCCTATATGAGTGAATAGTAGAATCACATAGGAATAAAAAGCCATAGAGAACAGCGAGGCCTTAGGCTTCTCATGAGGGCCCTCCCTTCACCCCCATACTCCCCTCCTTCCTGAGGGTGATGAGGCTCTAGGCCAGGGCTGATGTGTCTTTCCCTTGGGAAGAGCCTCCCTTCTCCACTTGGGCTCTGGACAGCCTTGCTTGTGGATGGTCGTGACCTGGGACCTGGCTCACAGGCTGGGGATTGGAAGGGAGGCAAGCAAGGTGAATGAGGCTCTGGGGACCAGGGGAGCTAAGGGAAGGGGGGAGTTTGCACCCCACTGAGATGCATGGGAACCACTTTCCTTTCCTCCTGGCTGGTGTGGAGTTCCCACTTAGCAGGGCTGTAGTCTTGGGATATAGTTATCCTCCCCTGGCAGTCTTTAGATGTGCCCTGTCCCTGCCTCAGTCTTTGTCCTTGGGAGCACGAGTGTTAGCATTGGATGCCAAGTTCCAGGCAAAAGCAAGACAGGAGAACTGGGACTGGTACTGAGGCCTGGCAGACGCATCCCCAGTGTGCATGTATGTGGTGGGCATGTGAGCACATGGATGTTGGTGTTGGCATCTCAAGGGAGCATGCATCTTTGAGTGTCTACTTAGATACTAGCGCAGAGAATATGGCTACCTACATGCCTGCTGAGGGCTTTGGGTATGGGTAGGGTCTTGCTGGAGGCTCCCCCTGCTTGACCTTGGTCCCTTCTCTGTATCTATGTTTGTGTGGGTTGAGCAGCCAGGGCCTGGATTGGGCCCCATAGGGCCAAATAGTCTGTGGGTCTAACTCGTTAGATTTACTCACTTGGTACCCCAGAGATAAGAAAGGATATATTTGGCTGCAGCCTAGATGATAAAATGACATAAATCCCACATGATAAGTGTTTGATAGGACTCATTATTTGCTTCATAAATGTCAATTATGGATCATTAAAGTTCTTCCCCCCACTTGGCTCCTGGCTTCTGTCTCTCCTGGCCCAGGTTCCTGCTGCCCTGTGTCCTCCTCATCTCCATTCCCTGTTGTATAGAGACAGCTTCCCCTGGCCCAGCTGGAAGCTTTTGCTGTGGAGAGTGCCTAGCAGCCCCCACAGGCCCCTCCATTCTCCACACTTGGCATGAGCTGAAAGCAGCTGGGCAGTAGGCCTGGACAACCCTTAGGTGTCAGCTAATCCACATCCCTTTGTTTTATAGCTGGAGATAGAGAGAAGGTGGCTTATCTGGGGCTGCACAGCAAGTCGGCCACAGAACTAGAATGAGAACCTGCCTGACTGTCCTCTGCCACCCTCTGTGGCTTAGCCAGAGCCAGGGAGTCAGATCTATTCCTGCTTCCTGCTGCCCCGCCAGACCTGATGATGGTGACATGACCATGCTTGGCCTCTCTAGGGTTCCATAAAGCATATTTGTTGGCTTCTTGGCTCAGAGGGGCAGCTCCCTTGTGTGTGATTTGGCAGAAGACATGTGTAGCTGAGGGGGTGGGCTTCAATGTCAAGGTGTGTGTCTGTATCTGTATGCACGTCTGTGTCTGTGCATGCATAGGTACACATACAGGCATGTGTGTGTCCAGTGCAGCCCACAGTGTCTGAGTTGTGCTCTGCCCCATGCACAGATAGGTGTAGTTAGAGTGTTGGGGATACAGTGTGGAGCAAGTTAGACAAGGAGGCTCTAAAGGCAGGCAGAGGTGAGTCAACAAAGGGCCCTATGTGCCTGGCCCAAGGAGTTGACTTCATGTTGACAGCAATGACTACCTCATGAAGATTTTAGCAGGGAGTGATGCTATGCAGCTGCTTGAGGGCTTTGTTGCTGAGAGCCACCTTTCTTACTTATGGGTGTAGGAGATGGGGGCTTGCAAGGAGATGGAGGGAGTGTTGCAGGTGGGAGAGAGACCTGTCATTGGGCTCTTAGAACTGCCTTCATCTCCCCCCCATCCCTCTGCAACCTCAGTCCACAGTCTTTAGCCAACCCGGGAACCCTTCAGATGCCTGCTTTGGAATCAAGGCTGGAAGACCTGGCTCAGACACTCCTGGGAATCTCTGAGCCCCTCTGTCCCTGGGAATGCCATCAGGGCCTTGAGGATTTGCAGGGCAGAGGCCAGGAAGCTAGTGGACACTCTGGTGGATGTAGAGATCCCACTCATGTAGGATCTCAGCAGGGGCAGTTAAGTGGCTTGGAAGGAGCAATGGAGTGGGAATCAGGTCCTAGATCCTTGTTCTGGCCTTGCCATCTTCTTTTCTCCAGGCTTTAGTTTTCTCCGTTTTTCTAATGAGGGCAACATTCTTACCCTGCTCACCTCTTTAAGGAGGTGTCAGTGGCAGGTAGGAAAGCTCTATGCAAGTGGAGGGCTCAGGGAGGGAGGGGAAGAAGGAAGAGGCATTGGCCTTTTTCAAGTAGAATCTCAGGGAGCTCTTGGCTAAAGGAGATCCCCTTCTTTCAGGGCAGAATCAGGGTTAGAGCCAACAGGACCTTGGTGCTCACTGAGTGAGGCTGAGTGAGTACTCTACTGCCCTCTGGCACTGGACTGGCACTGGCATAGGGTGTTATTTGAGTCTTTAATAGCCAGAAGGGTGCATGGTCCCCTGGGAGGTCATGGACCTTCTGGGAAATCAGCTGGAGCCAGAGTAAGCTGACCCAGCCTGGAGGAGAGCCCCCTAATATCTTGGAAAAATGGGTAGGGCAATCTCCCTTCTCCCTCAGGGTCTGGATCACATGTGAAGAACATGATGTAGCCCAGACTGGGGTCTGGAAGAACTGGCTTGACCCCAGGCCTGAATTCCTAGCTAGGTGAGAAGATTTAGGGTATGCCGGGGAGAAGAGGGATTGTATAGGAGTGGGGGTAACCAACATTCTGGGTGGCAAAGAAGCCAGTGACCTAAGTATGCTGCCACATGAGAGAAAGGACCATGGAGCTGTTGTGAGCAATGCCCAGCCCAGGAGTGCAGGTGGCCTTTCCCTCCAAAACAGGGAGGTAGCTCTCCCCAGGTAATCACTGGGGTCAGTCCTAAGGCTTTGCTCCCCCAATTCCCCTGGCTCAGGCTAGTTCAGAGTGCCTGGAGGGGGAGGGCTGGGGGGTAGGCACTCAGCCTGGCACCAGCTCATACCCACAGCTCTGATTCCCTTCTCTATACATGTTGGTCCTTCTAGGGGGCAGAATGGTGAGGCAGGGGCAGCTGCTGCCCTACTCAGCTGAGAAGGTTCTGGCCAAGGTAAGAGAGAGCTGACCCCTGGAAACAAGTGCCCCATCGGCTCAATCCTAGAAGGGCCACTGCCCTTAGAAGCTCTGCCTCATGGGATCATTACCCACCATGATCTGGTCTACCTTGGTTCTCTGGGGATCCGGGGAACTGTAGGACCTGGCCCTGCCCCAACCAAACAGCCAGAGGCTTGTCCCCCAGAATATACACCATTGAGAGGGTCCTCCCTGGTGTCTCCACTCCTGACCTTTCCTGCCTCTCCTCCAGCAGCCAGCAGAGCCACCCTGCTTGCCTCTCTGGGGAGGTGTGAACTGTACACCTGTACTGTCTGAACCCCTGCCTCTCCATCCCCAGCTCCAGCCGAGAAGGGGGCGGGGCTCCTGGTACTGGCTTCTGCCCCTCAGTTAACTCTCACCCACCCACCCAGCTTTAGGATCTCCTCGTGGCTTCACTAGAACCAGGGCTCTGTCTCCACCTGCTCCTCCCACCCCTACCTGCAGAGCCCTTGTTCCTCCCTGTCCAGCCCAGTTTCAAGAAGCTTACTGTAGGATCATCTAGGCTCTGGCCTGAAACCCTGCTGTCTGTAACTCTGGGTAAAGCTGTTCTGGGGACACTGTCTCAGGGGAGCTGGTCAAAACCCCCAGGGGAAGGGGAAGAACCTGTGCCCCCCAACCCATGTATCTGTGGGTCTGGGGGTCAGTAGCTTGGAGCGAAACCTATAAGCCCCCAGACACTTCACTTGGGCAGTGGGAGCAGCCCCAGCACATTGCGGCCAGCAACCTCCCCCCCACCAGGGACAGGCACTTGTGGGGGTCACAGCCCTGTGGATAGAGCCGCTGCTGCCACCCAGCAGCCCCGTAGCTACAGCTCAGCCAGAGGCAGGGTTCAGAGCCCTGGTCTCCAGGACCGGACATGCACTTAAACCTTCAGAGGCTGGCTG